TGGGCATCGGGCACAGGGGGCACTCCGTGGGCTGAGAGGGCTTTTCCAGCCTCAGTGATCCTATGATTCTGTGACTTGGGAAGACAAATGCCATCGCTCCAAACACTCCCCCTTCCTTCTTCCCCCAGCTTTTATTGCTGAGCATGATGCCTCGTGGTCTGGGATGTCCCTGGGTCAGTTGGGCTCAGCTGGCCTGGGTGTCTCCACTCTTAACTTCTCGTGCACTCCCAGCCACTCACTGGTGGGAAGTGGCTTTCCAGAGCATCTGTGGCTGCCCCATCCCTGGAAGTGTCCAAGGCCAGATTGGATAGGGGACTTGGAGCACCCTGGGCTAGTGGAAGGTGTCCCTGCCCATGGCAGGGCGTGGAACTAATGATCTTTAAGGTCCCTTCCAACCCAGGCCTGTGGTTCTGTGGTGTGAGGAGCAGAGAAGGCTTTGAGCTGGGCAAGCCCTGCTCAGCCATGACAAACCATCCCTGAGTTATCTCTGCTCTGAACTTTGTGTTCCCAGCACAAATCCCAGCCCAGCCACTGTGCAGAACATTAACTCCGTCCCAGCCAAACCCACGCCGAGCGGGGATCAATCGTGCCCGCAGGTGCACTGCAGGGTTTGAGCTCATTCACACTCCAGAGGGGCAGTGAGATGGTCCAGTCATCTTTGAAAGCTCATGGTGATCAGGGAGCTTCCTGATGGCTGGAGAAAGGTGAATTCCATACCTCTTTCTGCTGGAAGGAGGCTGCTCGGCTTTCCCTTGCTTCTTGGAAATATTACGGAGCAAAACCTCCCAGAAACCATTTTCAAAGCTTCTTTCAAGGTTTTTTTCCCCAAGAAATCATTTCCTGGAGGGGCAAGAAGGTGATTTGGAGTAGCCAAGGGTGAATTGGGCCTGATTGCCTTCTGGGAAAGCTGGGAATGTGGGCAGGGAGAACACGTTGTCCGTGTTACCTTTGACACAGTGTCCTGGAGCACCTTTGTGGCCCCGTCAGGGACACGGGGTCTGATAAGGGAGTGGAAAATTGGCCGGACTTCCCCGTTGGAAGCGGTGGGGAGCAGTGCTGCAAAGTCCAGCTGGCTCTGGATGTGTCCCTCAGACACCTCTGGGTGTCCCTCAGAGGTCCATGCTGGATCCATGACTCCAGGAAGGGCATGGATCGTGAAAAATCAATATATTAACATTAAAATACACGTTAGTGATTTATAAAACAGTGTTATGTTTGTCCAGTTGTACAAATCTCAAGATGAAAGTCACACCTTGCACAGTAAAACCAGTTAAACCCAGCGACACCCCGAAAATCAGAAAGGGAATTAGGTGCTGTATGAAAATTTAACTCCATGTAGAGCTATGTAAAAATGGAAACAGACACCCCATGGCCATGGTGGGATGGAGCTCTGGGCAGGTTAAGGATTGTTAAATTTGGGGAGCAGGTTGATGTGCTGGAGGCAGGGCCGTGTCCAGAGTGACCTTGGGTGACAGGGGCTGGCACAGCCTCGGGAAGGTCAAAAAAGGCAAATGCCAAGTCTTGCCCAGGGTCACTCCAGCCTTGAGCCAGGCTGGGAATTGCAGTACCATGGGGGACAGGAATATTGGAAGTGGGTGTTGTTCCCCAGCAGGGTTGGTGCTCGTGCATTGGGATCTGTTTACCTTCCTTCCAAGAAATAAATTCCATCTCATCAGTGGAAAAGGCACCTGAGGTCTGCCCGTTCAGGGAGGCAGGAATTGATCTTTAAGGCTGGATTTTAACTTCCCGTGTGCAGGTTTTGTTTCAGAGGTAGATTGGGATTTTTGGGGGGGACTCAGCCCGTGTTCCTGCACGTCTTCCCTGGGACAGAGGTGGCAGTGAGATTTTTCAGGAGTGATTTTTGTCACTGGACAAAAGGAACCAAACCAGCTGTGGCAATTCCACCTTGATACCTAATGGTGGCTTTGGAGTTTTGTGGGGTTGCTCCCCTTTTTATTTTCCTTCTATTTTTTCTTCAACCTGAGCAGTTTTCATGTTTTTAATGGAAAATTCTGGAGTGAGTGTGTACTTTCATCTCAGTGAATCAGGATAGTGTTAGCTTGGACATGATTTCACTCTGAGCATTTGTGCCCCAAGTGTACAAGTTGTAAAGTCATAATTTTCCACTGGCATATGTTGTAACTGTCAGGAATTATCGTTGAGCTGCCTTCTGGGAAGCTAGGAATTTTTGGATATTTCAAAATTCCCCGATTCACCTCTTTGAGTGTTTAAATGTGACTCAGTCCACCAACCAGTAGCAACGTGTTTTTAGTATTTTACTAAGAATTTTTGATGGGGTGAATTCACTTTTAACCAAATTTTGAAATTGCCTTAATAACTCATGATAGTGAAAGAAGGGAAAATGGTTTATTCCTTTACCTTTTTGTTTGTTTTTTTTTTTCCATTCCTTTTCTCATTGTATCAGGGCTTTATGGATCTGCTCCCTGGCTCTGCATCACCTGACGTGGCTTTCACTTGCTGACAGTTCATAAAGCAAAGAGAAAATGCTGTTTTGATTATGAAACGAAGAGAAAATGCTGTTTTGATTCAGTAGCCTCTATGAAAAGGATTTTAAAAAGCCTTTTGGGGAGTCACCATCCCCGTGCAGTGTGTGAATATTAATTTTCCCCTGCTCCTTTCATCACCTCCCAGGCACTGAAAGGGTCAACTCTGCTGCTCCCAGTTGTGCTGAGCTGGGAAATCCAGGCTTTGTAAAGCTGAGCACGTTGTTTTAGCTGTGCTTTTGTTAGACAGGGCTTGGGGGCTCTCAGGTCAAGGTCAGAAAAAGGTGTGTTCCTTTAGTCCAACCTTCTTTTTGGACGTTTCAGACACTCATTTGTACTTTTTCTGGTGCTTTTCGTGGTCGTGGAAATGGGAAGGATTTTCAAATGGCATTAAAATTTGCCAAACAATTGATCTGAAAGTTCATAACCAAAGAAATGTATTAACCCCAACTGCTCGTGCTGGGTGAGTTGGACCAATTTGCCAGTTAATCCCTTGGTTTTTTGGACCTTTATCATGACCTTGTTCCAAATGTGATTCCAACCTTGTCGAATTTCTCGGCTTTAAATGGAAATACATTCACTGATGCAAATTTAACCCCTTCTTTTATTCAAGAGCCCTGGCCAGGGGGTGTCTGTTTCCATTTTTACATAGCTCTACATGGAGTTAAATTTTCATACAGCACCTAATTCCCTTTCTGATTTTCGGGGTGTCGCTGGGTTTAACTGGTTTTACTGTGCAAGGTGTGACTTTCATCTTGAGATTTGTACAACTGGACAAATATAACACTGTTTTATAAATGACTAATGTATATTTTAATGTTAATATATTGATTTTTCACAAAGGATGGCCAGCCCAAGACATTCAAACACTAGTTTCTCCTGTTTCTCTGTTGGAAAACTCCTTGAAGTCTCATTGTCCACTGACCTGACTCCTCCTTCACATTGTTATGCTGATTTACAAGGAAAATAGAAAAAGATCCCTCAATATTTCAGAGCACCTGTTGTATTAAATTGACCTGGGTGATTTAAATACAGTCTTAAAAACTTACCAGTAACAGTTAGAGAACATTTCATTGCCTTATAAACCCAATTGTTTCATGAGATGAATAGATTTGAAATTCCATCTTGAATGACAGTAAAGAACATCCCAGCTTTGCACGATAAATCAAGATATACACACATGGAATTTGCTCCCCGATGCACTTATTAGTCAGCCTTTTCTTTTCCCCTGCTCAAAAGAGTTTTCTCCTGGGAAATTTGGCTACTCCAGGCTGTGATTTTTGTCCCGTTTTGTGATATATTTATAGTTGTTGTAGAAGGATTCCTGGATAAACTGTCCCTAGGATAAAACCAGCTTTGTATTCCCTGCACTTAACCATTTTGTTCATTCATCACAACACAGATCCAACACAAATTTAGGTATACTGTAAATTGAATTATGTGCTGTCTTGCCCACTTTTTCTGCAAACCCCCTACTTAAAAAACAAAAATTTAAAATGTGACATATTTCTGATTGAAGGAGGTGCTGCTGTACAATCCATGCTCTTCGTGCCGGAGCTTGTGGTCGATCCGAATCCCAAGATTTCAGGCAGTTGTGGGAGTAAATCTGATTCTGATTTTGTTTTAGTTCCCTGGTGTAAAACTTTTCCTGGAGAAGGTTTTTAGGGATATCTCAGGCTTCCAGCATTGTTATGCCATCAGTTTAAGTGAAATTTGGTTCAGAGGTGGGGGAAGACCTCAGGTAAAATAAATGTTCCGTATCCAGGTTGGGTGTAAACTGAATATCCTGAAAATTTACCTCTGATTCCACGTTTTCCATTGCAGTTACCTGGGAACTGGAGAAGAAAGAGTTCCCAGATTTAGGTTCCAAAGACAGCAGCTTGTTTTCTTTCACCTTTTCAACACTGATGGCCCATTTCAGTTGTTCCTTGTAGTTATTTGTGTAGTTCTTTATCATTTTGCTCAAAAACCAAATTCTTTTAAAAGGATATTTTGGGTTCTGGGTGTTTCCTAAGCTGGGCTTTGGAACAGGAGATCCTAAAAGAAACTGTTTTATAATATTAGGTGGAATACTTGGAATACTTTACAAAATAGTAATTTTTATTCCTTGGAGCAGGAATGTGGCCAGATCTTCTGGGAAGAATTTTAAACAATCACGATGCTTTTAGATTTTTGTTTCACATCCTGTTGGGAAAAGTGAGCCTGTAACACCCATCAGAATGTGGATATTCCTCATGGTGAGATGGAGGAGAAAGAACCTGTCCAGAATTCCTTATTAGAGGATGTTCCTGAGGATTTTTATTTTTATTTAATTGATGTACCACCAGAATTACTGTGTAACTAATTTAAATATAATTAGATTTTCCTTTTGCTCACGGCATAGCCTGAAGCTTGGTAGTTTCTTGTGTAGGTTGGAGAAAATAATTGAAGGAAATTGAATTTGTGGTGGGTTGGTTTAGGTATTAATGGATTTATTTTTTTTCCCCCCTCTTTCAGAGCCTTCAGTCAGAAAAGAGCTGCAATCGAGAAGGAATATGCACAGGTAGGTTCTGGAAGCATTTTAATGGTTGTGTTGTTTTTCTGTTGGGGTAATTTGTTCATCAGCAAATTTCCACAGTGTTTTAATTTATTTTTTCCATAAGTTGGAAACTTAGGAACTCCAATATTGCAGTTCCTAATCAGATTGGTCTCTGCAGGGCTTGGGCCCATTCTGGGGTTCCATGGACAGTTTGACTCAAAATTCTTGGGCCCAGAAGACATTTTTAACATTTTTTTTCCCCAGTTGTTACAAAGTCAGTCAACTCTTGGTGATGTTTTCTCAGAATTCAGTGTGAAACCTGAGTAAAAAAGTAAAATCAGGTCAATTAGAGGGAGAGGAAATGTGTTCTGGCACACTGGCTCCAAAATAAATTTACATTCACATTCCTCAGTAGGAGCAGCTTCTCATTCAGCTGAAATAAAAGCAGATTTGGCCTCCTGCTCGTGATAGGGAGTGGAATGAATTTTGATTTGTTGGGGAGAAAAGAGGCAGGATTGATTTTTTTTTTTCCTCTCTGGTTCCAAAATTAAAAAGCATCTAATAAGGGGCAACCGCCTGTTTAATTTACAGGAAAGGCTCTTGGAGCTGAAGATTAAAAAGACATTAATTTATTTTCGAATAGATTAAAGGTGGAATAAAATCTGAGCTGGGGGAGCTCAATATCCGATAAATACAACTGGAGATGTGCCTGATGGTGGAATTGGTGTTGGGGCAGTGACAGGAGGGAAATGGGGGAGCACAGCCTGGCACTGGGCTGGGTCTAAGGGGAGTTTTAGGATGTTAAAAATCCTTTTAGTGCTGCATCACCCACAAAATAACAGAGCAAACGTGTTCCGGGGGCCGGATTTTCCGGCAGGAAAAGAGGATTTCTGTGTCTGCCACGGGCAGGTTTTTAGGGCTGATTTTTCTGCCCCAAACTTGGCTGAAAATGCTTTGTAAATCCAAGTAAATTTGTGCTGAATTAAACCCACTCGCTGACGACGTTCTGTAAGTTATTGGCGCTCCGGTTTTTCTTTGGACACGAATTTACGTTGGAATATATCCATTCCATCGGCAGGTGAACTTGATTTGATGAAATACAGGGACTTTTCAGTGACAGGATCAATACCTGCCTCCTGAAACCGGGCTCCAAAGCAGGTATTGGGTGTTCTTTGTAGTGATGGAGAGAATTTAAATTCACTTTTAATTCACGTCTCAGTGAGACACCGGGAATGTCTTTTACATGCAGAGGCACAACAGTCACTGCATTTAGGGAATAGTCGTGATAAGTTGGAAAAATAATTATGTTCTCAGCTTTGGAAGGCTCAGGCTTAACAAGTGAGGCTTTCAGCTCCTTGGATTTAAACCCCCCCCACCCCCCAGCTTTCCAGCAATGCAGCTGCATCGTTTGAGAGCCACTGAATGGCTGCTGGGATGAATGAAGGCTTGTGGGATCGCTTCCTTGGATTGCTGAGGAGCTCCAGGACAATGTGGGATGGTTCTTCCAGGGCCTCTAAAAGGATTTTTCCGTTCTGGAGGTGGTGGTAATAAAACTGCCCGTGAAGCCTTTTTTTTGGGGTGACAAGTTGGGCTCAAAAGAAGTGGGAAGTCGCTTTTGTCGATAATGGGGTATTCCTTTAAAACCAGCGATAAAGGGAGCTGGAAATTCTCAGCCAAACCTTTTCACAGATTCTAGCCAAATGCCTTTAGGAATTTAGAATATTCTTGGTTTTGGCAGGTTAAAAGGAGTGGAAGGGGCAGACAGGGAAAATAAGTTTCCCAGAACTGCAAGCTTTGCTGTTTTTTCCAACAAAATTGTGTCTTGGTGCCCTGCACGTGGGTGCCAAGTTCCCAAACACAGAGGGCTTTTGTTGGGAGCAGGAGAACCTGTCCAAAGGCAAGGGAAACACCAGGTCAGTGTTTAGAACTTCCCCCTAATTACATGGGAAGTGCTGCGAATGGATGGGAGGAATTACAGGACCTGTGTTTAAATTTCCCTGTGTCTTGTTTGGTCGAGGAGTTCCTTTTACAGAGTGGTTTTCACCTTGTTGTACCTGTTGCCACCCAAGTTTCTGTTGCTTATTGTCTGTCCCCAGTGGGATCTTTCCTGGATTTTTGAGGCTGGAATAAATGGGAGGAGTATCCAGCGTATCCCTGGGCCTGCAGCTCTGCACTTTTCTGGATCAGTTGGGCTTGGCTCTTCCACTTGTATTTTCAGTGCTGCATTATTTAATACACAATTAAAGGCTCACCTTAATACTCCCAACCAAGAGCTCTCCTTTCCCACTAACAACATGCCTGGTAATAGCATTTAAATTGCAATTTTATATTGTTATTACGAGCTGTTCTCCGTGATTAATGAGCTGGAATCAGAGGCTGAGAATCCTTGTTTGGGTGAAAGAACAGCTTATTGAAGGTGTGCTTTTGCTGCTACCTACCAAAAAAACTGGTTTACCCAGCGTGTTAATAAGGAAAATGTTGGGGGATTTTTTTTTTGAGATCATAATTCCATCTGCAATGTACATATTATTATTTTATATTTTTTATTGAAGAGACCAGTTTTTCCTCTTGGTGTTGAGTGCTGGGAACACACAGATGACCTTCCTTGTCATCTTTGCTTGATGTTTCATTACCATTGTTTCGGAGTAAAACGTGATTCCAGGCAATCAACCCCTTGGAATTTACAAATAACCTCCTCATTTCCCTGCATGTTAATGAGTTTTTAACTGTAGAACTTCAACTAAAAGCATTGACAGTGTGGAAAAAAGGTGTGAAAGTCCATTCCATGAGCTGCTGCCTTTGAAATGAGGCTCGTGTAGAAGTTTCTGTTTGGGTTTTTTGAAAAAGGCAATAATTATTAGGATTTTTTTTTCCTCCTCTCTGTGTTTTCTGGAGGTTAAATTAGCACTGAGGAGATGTGGGTGCTCAGGAAAAGCAATTATCTTATCTGGGATCAGAGAGAGTGGCCTCGGTGTTGATTGCTGTGGCAGTGAGAAACTTAATACATTTAAAACGTTTTAAAATGGGGAGAAAAGAAAAGGGAGGGGAGTTTCCATCCCCCACATTCCCTGTGTGGGTGCTGGGACTGAAGTACAGTGATGGCAATGATCAGGAAGAGCCTGAAAATGAGATTAAAGTGATGGCAGAGGGTCAGAGCAGAGGGGGAACAAGGAGAAAGGTGGATTTAAACAGATGTAACGTGATCACCTTCACCCATTTGCCTCACCAGCCTTGAAAAACCCACTTATTTCCACCCATCGAAATCTGTACCTGGATATTTTCTATAAAATTGCAACATTCCTACAGCAGTTTTTGTGTCTAGATAACGTGTGTGTGTATACACTTCATCTATAAAGCACTTATTTCATAAATACATATAACATATAATTTATTTAATGGATCTAACCAACATTTATGGGCTGCAGTGCCCGAATATACTGGTTTTCTAGTGTTAAAAATCAAAAATAGAAGCTGATTATTTCTTTTACCCACACTCTGACAGGATGTTTCACTTCACATTCAGTGGCCTTTTTAGCAATTTTGCAGTGGATTAAAATTGTAAGGGTTAAAATAAGAGATTCCCCCCCCCAACCCCCGTGTCTTGTTCCCTGGTGCTGTGGCTCATTTTTCTTTCATTAATTGATTTGTCTTTATCCTGTGGAGACTGGAAAGGTGTTAATATTTCCCTAATTAGGGATTAGCGAAATTGGGGGAATTTTAGCCAAATATAAGTCTGTGACAGGACAGAGACCAGACTAAACTCTTGCAAATACACCGATTTATTGCTGCGTTAACCACGAGAGCAGGACGGGGGGCACTTGGAATAGGAACAGCTGGGAAACTTGGGAATGGTGCTGGAAGTAGAACCCTCAGCATGGAAAACAGTCCCCTGGGTGGATTCTGAAATCCCTTGTGGATGAAGAGCTGCAGCTTGGCAAACACAGCCTGGCAACGGTCTCGGAGGGGAAAAGGTGTCCAGGTGTGGTCCAGGTCTTCCCTCTGTGGAACCTCAGGAAAAATCCTTGAGGTGTCTGCCCTGAAAACCCAACAGGCAGCTTCTTAGTAGTTACTTCTATTAGGTTTTTTTATTTTCTTTTTATTTTTTCCCTATTTTTTCCTTTTTTCTGGTTTTTTTTTCCTCTTTCTCCCATTTTTTGAATTTTTTCCCGATTTTTCCTTTCTTTTTCCTATTTTTTTCAATTTTTCAATTTTACCTATTTTTTTTTTCCAGTGCCTAGAGGGGCTCCAGGAGAGCTGGACAGGGACTTGGGACAAGGGCCTGGAGGGACAGGATACAGGGAATGGCTTCCCACTGCCAGAGGGCAGGATTAGATGGGATATTGGGAAGCAGTTCTTCCCTGGGAGGGTGGGGAGGCCCTGGACTGGATTTCCCAGAGAAGCTGTGGCTGCCCCTGGATCCCTGGAGATGTCCCAGGCCAGGCTGGAGCAACCTGGGCTAGGGGAAGGTGTCCCTGCCCATGGCAGGGGGTGGAACTGGACAAGCTTTAAAGTCCCTTCCATCTCAAACCGTTCCGTGATTCTATGACTCAGTTTAGGATATTTCTTTTGGATAATTGCTGGTGTCCTCTCAATTATTGTTTTGGATTCACTGAGAGAGGAAAACCTGTGTTTCAACCTGAGTTACGAAGAAGTGTTTAATGAGTAACCACTGCAAGATTTTTTGTTCCTTGCCCTGTTCCTGAAAAATCTCATCTATTTGGTGTGGAATGTGTGGATGCCTGTGATTTCAGACACACCTGGAACCTGGACTGTTCTGTTAGTTTGCCTGAAATCTCAGCAGGATGGATTTTTCCGTGTTTTAGGAGAGGATCCATCCCCTTCCCGGTCCCTGCCTGACGTCAGATCATGCATATTGATGTCCTGGCTCTGTCCTTTGAGCCCTGATGGGGCATAATCACCACAACTCACTGGCTCCAGAAAGGAAACACCTGCCTGGTGCTACCTTTGGATTCTATTCCCCGTTCACAGCACCAGGATACCCATGAGGGGGGGAAGAAAATGAA